ATTCCAGCTTGTGATTCTTCCAGCCTGGCATTTCTCATGTATGTATTCTGCATATTGGTTAAATAAGCAGGGTGACAGTATACGGCCTTGTCGTTCCCCTTTCCCTATTTTGAACCAATCGGTTGTTCAGTGACTGGTTCTAACTGTTGCTTCTTAGCCCGCATACAGATTTCTCAGGAGACAGGTAAGATGGTCTGGTACCCCCATCTCTTTAAGAATTCACCAGAGTTTGTTGTAATCCACACAATCAAAGGTTTTTGCATAGTCAATGAAGCAGAAGTAGATGTTTTTCTGGAACTCTCGTGCTTTCTCCATGATCCAGCGAATGTTGGCGATTTGATCTCTAGTTCCTCTGCCTCTTCGAAACCCAGCTTGTACATCCGGTAGTTCTCGGTTCACGTACTGCTGAAGCCCAGCTTGTAGGGTTTTGAGCATCTGCTTAAATTAGCAGTAGGTTATACGATGGGATCTAGCATGGCCTTGGTAGAGAGTTTCAAAGCTTGGGAACAGCAGATTCTATTTTATATCTACCAATCTGATTTTGGCTGAGAGATGGACTTCTCTTCCAAATTTTGATACATGGACAGGCTTCTATGGAAGACTATTTCAAATAGCCAGCCCCAAGTCACTTTTCCCAAATGCAGCCTTTCACAGATCAACACAGTATCTTTGTCTTCTATTTGTTTACCTGGAGGGGGAATTGTAGGTATGTGTCTAATTCAAAACAAGGCACATACCACCAGCGTAATTTGGCTTTCAGAGAAAAAATGAGCAGACTTCTCTAAGAAGGTAACAATATTTATCCAGCTTGAGATTTATTTTAGGGAGTGCTCTTAAAATGTAATAGAGGTTAAATTAGATAGCCTCAGTTAATCGTTGGAAGGATAACTCTCCTCACCCCTGGTTTTCTCTTTAGCAATAGAAACTAACCTGCCTTGATGTTTAAGCAGTGCTAACATAATTACAATCCAGCTGGCAATTGTCCAAGTGTTTTCACAAAATACAAGACTAGCTCTGGACTTCCGGTTGTAATGAACCATAGATGGGGGG